GTCACAGAGTGTAAGCTTACTTTTTAAATTTGTTAATTCTTCATTTCTAATGTCGTCAAATGCCGTACATTTTAATAAGAAATGCTCTACATTTCCTATTTCTCCACTGTCACAAAGGGTACAAACGCCTGAGACGTCATTGGACCATTTATAAGTTTTACAATCAACCTGTAGCGTGTCAGATCTTAACTTGAATTTTAAGCTTGACCCATAGAAATTAGTTTTGTCCAGTAAGTATTTTTGTAATTTCCACAATGTTCCCATAGTAAACACGATTAAAATCATCTAGACGCAGGGTTCCTGGAACGCCGCCGACAGCGGGGTTAGTGCGAAGCACAACTCAGAGTCAGTAGTGGAACGTGAATTTCGATATGGTTTCGTAGTCAGATTTGCGAGAAAAACTTCAGCTACCCGTATTTCTTGACTGAGACGTCAGTGGGAGCTGTAATTTGTATGGCAAGGAGATTTTGCTACCCTTTATTCGTACTAAGGGAATGTACGCCCACAAACCTTGTAGTTATTAATATTTTGGTTATAATAGAAAAATTCTATTTTTTGTGACGTCACTCACAATATAGTTAGCATGCATACGTCATAAGCTAGATTACGTCACCTTTTCCTGGCAAGGCCAACTTTCCCGGCGTGCTTTTTGCTGCGAAGCAGCCAATTCATATTCTTGACAGCAATTTGACCTCTGAAAGGTCATTGTTTGTCAAAAAACAAGGGCCTAAGACGACTGAAAAGCGGAGTTTCCTTCTTTCGTTCTGCCGGGTAAAATCAATTACTTTAGGCGACGTTTGTAAACTAACCAACACGTACCAACGTCCGCAATGTCGCGCTAGCTTTATCCTACTCTAGGCCTAAACTAGCTAGTTGAAGGGACGAAGGTCCCAATGAAAAACAACGTCACTCCTTGATAGCTAACATTGTCTATTTAACATCACAATAATTCATTATTAGACCTATAGTTGTTTTTTGAATTGTTCTTCACAAATCTCAGCCGATACCTCGCACAACTCGAGTAACGTCTCGTATCTATTGTCGTGACGTCATGGCTCGCTGGCTCACAGTTGGGATGTCTCGCACTTGTGGATGGATGGATGGATTTATTCGGTGTAAACACCAAGGATAGCCCACGAAAGTCTAGAAGAAGACTTATTTCCAGTGGGGTCCTTCTGGTGGTAATTGGGCAATACACCGGGAGACAATCCCCTACTATTTTCCGAAGAGTGTACTGCGTTCTTTAACGTGCACATGGGCCATAATGTACACGAGACCAACGGCTTAAACGTCTCATCCGAAAGACGGTGCACTATTGTAACTTGTATTTCAGCCCTCTAACTAAAACACAAGGAGAGGCAGCGATAAGAATTGAACCGGGAACCTAGAGATCTCCACGGTTCAACGCACACACAGCGGCTACCACCAGATTAGCCGACTGAGCTAAGCTGCTCTCTCGTGAAATAACACGCTGGCTCGCACTTTGGCAACACTCTTTGGCAGTCAACTCGCCCCTAGAAAACCCGCTCTTGGAAATTTGCCCCATAAAAAATGTACACTTCCTAGACCATGCAGTCTTCAAAATAAAAATTGTAACTTTTGGTAACCAACTACATTTTTCACATACATAGAAATTTTTGAAACTTTATTTTAAAAAAATCTAAACCATAATTCACCACTATAGACACTTTTAAACAAAAATGAAAAATTACGACTTTGTTACCCAATGAGAAGTGTAATATAGACAATGGGTCGTGTCTCATATTATTTGTTATATTTTTATTATTCATTATTTTCACTTGACTCGCATAAATAATTTTGTTCGAAGAACATTTATATGCAATTCACTTGCAATTTGCAATTTCTAGTTTGATTGATAAACAAACACCACTGCTTTGCACATGGATGCCTTGCCTAGCTAGGTCTACAAGAGCCGCATTATAGCATTATATAATATTTAAACAAGATACATCTGCAACTGAATTATTCTTAGTTATTATGTTTTTCTTATTTTAATTTATTTCTTTCGAAAGTGTACTTTCTATCACATATAATGGCACTGTCTACTTTATGCCTAGACCTAGGTAGTCTTATGCCTCATCGTCCCCCGCTACACAGTACATCAGTAGGC